AACAAAAAAAAAAACAACTGTGACTTTGTGCTTTGTTTCATTTGCTGTAAATTTGCTAAGAATGTAATATAAGATTAGAATAGTGTTTATTTGTCTGCTTATTTATAAGGAACTCCATTAGCTTCCACAACAGTGGTTGCTAGTCTTCCTGGGGCCTAAGCCATCAAATACAATCAATTAAAATATTACACAATAAAGTGGATTTTATATGAAAGTGCAAAATTCCTCCTCTGCCACACTCCTGGCTGTAATCTAAAGCACAGCGTTAACATAACTTTATGGCAGTTCAGGTACTACCATAAACAAGGTATAGCGTCACATCAGCAGTGACAACATCAGTGACATCGCTTCACGTCCTTTATAAGATTTTTTTTCCTGATGTGTCATGATTTTTAGTATTCCCCAAAATCCGTAATTAGTAATAAGCTGTTGAAAAATAAAAAGATCACCTTAAAAAAAACCTAGTACACATATTCTCTGTGTTTTAATTTGATGCAGGATGAAAGCAAACATGTCACACTGATGTGTTACAGCATTTTTCTTTTTTTAAATGAGGAAGTTATCAAACCAGAAGCCAAGAGGCTTGATGTTGTGTCCACTCCTACTGGATCCCTACTGTCTGTTTAACGAGCAGGCTGTGAAGTGTTAACAACTCAATGTTGCTCTTTTTTTTGGCACCTGTTAGATGTTTAGTAATGATGCTGGATTCGTGATTCCTTGCAAGCTTTGTTTACTATGTAACTGAGAGACATTAGATGCAAGCAGCTTGACTCCCGGGGGCGGGTCTAGCGTTAGACGTTTTCTCACTGGCTGCGTGCGCAGAGTATTACTTTGAACAGGAATAGGAAACAAGCATTAATGAACAATACTAATCAGATGTTCTACAGCACCTGAAACATTTGAACAAGCTAAACAAACACTGGATGACTGAATAAAATTAGCACTAAATCTGGTACTTGAACACAGTGAAATCTCTTCATTTCTAACATATTTATGGCTGTGATGAACACGCAGCGCTCTGAAAATGGGCTTAGGTTCAATTTAGAAGAGGGATGAATTAAAATTTAAAAATAAACAAAAACATATTTCAAATTAATGTATGAATTTAACTGACAAATTCTGAGAGCCTGTGGGCGGGACCTATTTTCAATGGGCGGGACCTATTTTCAAACATCACAGCAAAGAGAATGAGGCCATGACATCACAGTCACCAAAATTCTATAAATAGGGGTGAAACAGCACACTGGTCAAGCACGTTTCTTACTTACAGTCACGAGCGAGTCACTAGACGAACTTTTGTTCTGCTACAGCCAACTTCAAACCCTGATTCACATTTGATTATCGAATTCACATCTGAATATCTTATTTAGTGTAACACGCTAAATTTGTTTCAAAGTTAAATATCAAAAATGAGCAATCAGGAAGGAAAACCAGAATTTGTCTTCACTCTGCCAAAGAGTGCACTCGACAACCTCATGCTGGTTAGGAAAGCCTTGCAAAACTCTCTGACTGAAAACAAACTTTTAAAAGAGGGTGAAAGTAGAGCCAGACAGCAAATCAAACAGATGATGACTCAAATTTCAAACATGCGCACCAAGCTGGAGCTGTATGAGAACCAAGCTGCAGGAGTCACTGACGAATCAGTGTCGCGCAAACCGCAGGTGAGCAGCGCCACCAAAGAAAAAGAGCAACAGACGTGTTCAGATCAGGAAAAGGTCAGCAACCTTGACCTTGAGATGAACTGTCTGAAAGAGCAGCTTCAGCACAGGGACAACGAAATCCTGATGCTGAAACAGGAGAAGGACACTCTGTCTGCCAAGTTCACGCAGCTCCAGAAACATGAAAGATATCTGAAAGAAACTATGTGGAATGCTCTGTGGAAAGAACAAACACTGAGAGAGAATCTGGAGCAGGAGAAAAAAGTCCTGGAGGAACAAAATAAGAAACTCCTGGAAGAACAGAAAGTGGTGAATGATACAACAGAAGAAGTCAAAGAGGCCATCACAAAATGTCAGGATGCAGAGAAAGAAGAGAAAGAACTGGAGGAGGACAAGAAAGCTCTGCAGCCACAGAGTGAGGACTCCAGCGAGATTAAAGAAAGTCAGGCAGAGACAAACATACCAGAAATGAGACAAACTGGACACGCAGAGAATAAGAATTAGTAGAGTCTCAGACTGAAACACAGGAGACGGCAACCCCAGAGTCGTCCTCATCTGATTGTCTGAGTGGGGAAAAGTTGTGTGTCAACAAAGTGATTGAGTTGGTGGTTTCACAGGCCATAGCATGAGGTTGTCGAGTGCACTCTTTGGCAGAGTGAAGACAAATTCTGGTTTTCCTTCCTGATTGCTCATTTTTGATATTTAACTTTGAAACAAATTTAGCGTGTTACACTAAATAAGATATTCAGATGTGAATTCGATATTCAGATGTGAATTCGATATTCAGATGTGAATTCGATAATCAAATGTGAATTCGATAATCAAATGTGAATCAGGGTTTGAAGTTGGCTGTAGCAGAACAAAAGTTCGTCTAGTGACTCGCTCGTGACTGTAAGTAAGAAACGTGCTTGACCAGTGCGCTGTTTCACCCCTATTTATAGAATTTTGGTGACTGTGATGTCATGGCCTCATTCTCTTTGCTGTGATGTTTGAAAATAGGTCCCGCCCATTGAAAATAGGTCCCGCCCACAGGCTCTCAGAATTTGTCAGTTAAATTCATACATTAATTTGAAATATGTTTTTGTTTATTTTTAAATTTTAATTCATCCCTCTTCTAAATTGAACCTAAGCCCATTTTCAGAGCGCTGCGTGTTCATCACAGCCATAAATATGTTAGAAATGAAGAGATTTCACTGTGTTCAAGTACCAGATTTAGTGCTAATTTTATTCAGTCATCCAGTGTTTGTTTAGCTTGTTCAAATGTTTCAGGTGCTGTAGAACATCTGATTAGTATTGTTCATTAATGCTTGTTTCCTATTCCTGTTCAAAGTAATACTCTGCGCACGCAGCCAGTGAGAAAACGTCTAACGCTAGACCCGCCCCCGGGAGTCAAGCTGCTTGCATCTAATGTCTCTCAGTTACATAGTAAACAAAGCATGCAAGGAATCACGAATCCAGCATCATTACTAAACATCTAACAGGTGCCAAAAAAAAGAGCAACATTGAGCTGTTAACACTTCACAGCCTGCTCGTTAAACAGACAGTAGGGATCCAGTAGGACTGGACACAACATCAAGCCTCTTGGCTTCTGGTTTGATAACTTCGCTCATTTAAAAAAAGAAAAATGCTGTAACACATCAGTGTGACATGTTTGCTTTCATCCTGCATCAAATTAAAACACAGAGAATATGTGTACTAGGTTTTTTTTAAGGTGATCTTTTTATTTTTCAACAGCTTATTACTAATTACGGATTTTGGGGAATACTAAAAATCATGACACATCAGGAAAAAAAATCTTATAAAGGACGTGAAGCGATGTCACTGATGTTGTCACTGCTGATGTGACGCTATACCTTGTTTATGGTAGTACCTGCCCGCCCACTGGCTCGTTGAAAGAACACAAAGAACAGGCTCTCAGAATTTTACATTGAAATTCATACATCAATTAGAAATATGTTTGGGTTGTTTTTTTTTTTGTTTTGTTTTTTTTTTTAATTTTGATTCATCTCTCTTCTACATTTACCCTAAAACTATTTTCACCCCTGACACAGAAGCTCTTCTCTGTGGTAGAAAACCTTAATTTTCACGCTCTCTTCACTTCCATCAGCCCTTCTCACATCTTTCCCCCCACTATTTGCTACACAGATCCTCTGCAGGATTGATGCACGCAAAAATCACCCTTTTGACCTTCTGCCCACAGAGAGGAGGTTCAGGTCAGTTCAAACACACACTAACACACTCCAAAGCTGTACAGACCCTCACTAAACACTCACATTTTACAGCTTCACACGACTGTGGGTCAATATGAACGTGTCATGTGCCTGTTGCTTAAGTATAAGGTATGAAGGATAATATTTAGTACAAGCGGGCGAACTGCGCTGATTTTTTTTAATATGGAAAAAAATTATGTCTTCGTTTTTTCTGTTATATATTGAAATAAGATGACTTCTCTTGTGTTTAGAAAATAATGCAGTTTTTCTTAATCAATCTTAAAAGCAGCTATTTGCTGTTTTGCGTTGCATCCAGACCTACTGCTGCCTCCTTCCTTTGCCTCCGTGGGTGTCTTTATCTGAGCGTCCCTTTAGCCTCCATGACGCTCCTGGTAGCAACATTTAATTTTCAAGGCTGTTTACAATCAGACAAAAAGTCTCAGTTTTGAGCGCAATCAGCTCTTAGTTATTCTGACCTCACCACAGCGCCATCTGTTCAACACGACGTCTGTGTGCAGGCTCATGACCGTCATGTCACAGGTATTAAAACACATGAGAGAGATGCTGATTCATCACAGCCATAAATATGTTAAAAATGAAGATATTTCAGTGTGTTCAAGTACCAGATTTAGTGTTAATTTTATTCACTCATCCAGTGTTTGTTTAGCTCGTTCAAATGTAAAAAACAAAACAAAACAAAAAACAACTTTGTTTACTTTAATCTTAGTTCAAAGTTCAGTACGTGTACTGGCCTAAAGATTCAGCAAAGATTCAGCATTATTTGTAATATATGAGGCGTTTTATTACAAAAACCTGCGAGACAGTGTTTGAATCCACGTTTTTTCATGTTGTCGGCGAGTATCAAAAGTGAGGCTCAGTGTTTGTTGTTAAACTTTAACCTATTCCCTGCAATAAAAATACACATTTGTTAAAATTTTCTATTTGTTATTTGTCTGTTTTTACTAGATTTACTTTAGATTTTACTGTAAGCCATTAACTTCTGTGTGGAAATACCGTCAGTTAATGTTAAAGGGGCGGCTGTCAATAGCAGGCGTGTACGTGTGTGAAATACCTCGATGTGCCTTTAAGACGACCCTGCAAACATGGGCGGGTCAGACTGTAGGAGGTGTTTTTAAACGCTGAACTTTGGTCGTTGCTTTCGTTTGTGTCAGAACTGCTGCTTGAATCATAATCAGCTGTCAATGTTAACGTGTAGCTGTGTCAGAGGCACGCAGAGAACATGTCAGATACTCGGACCAAGTTTAAATACAACTGCTGGGACTTCTTGTTCACTTGTGTGGGCCTGCCGCTGTTCATATTTGACGTCGTTTTGGATGTACTGGCTGCTGTGTCCTTTTATAAGGAAAGGGCCTACGTGTACCTCGGTGTGCTGGTGCTGTTTCTCCTGGGCTCGTCGCTGCTCACTCAGGCTTACAGCTGGCTTTGGTACAGCTATGACGAGTTTGAGAGGAAGACAAAGGTCGAGAAGCTGCCGTCCCCGAGGCAGCTCAAGCTGCTCCACGTATTTCAGCTGGGAATCTACTTCAGGTATTTTTTTTATTTTTTTTTTTAATAATAATAACTATAAGTGCAAAGTGCCTGTTTTTGTTTTTTAAGTAGGTGTAAGCAGGGAATACTTAAGAAGTTCAGCTTATCTAAGGGTGCCACCCTGACCGTCCCATACAGGAAATGCAGGCTGACAATCTACGGTTACTACAATGTTGTGCACCTGACTGTCTGCTGTAATAAACTATCCACAGATTACATTTTTGGTTTCGTTTCGCCCTGCTTTATATAAGTCTGTGTGTAAACCCGTAGTTGAGACCTGGGAAATATCTGAAACATGAGTCATGCCTCAGTTTTCTGGTTTACAATAGCTGAGCTGATGAGGTAACGCATCTCCTTCCTGTCTCCATGCTGAGTGGGTGAACCTGATATTATTTGGATTGTAGTTTTCTTCTCTCGTGCATGCTTCCTTAGAAATTCAATGCAGCATATTTGACGGGAGGATTCAGTCTAACTGGTTATGTTTCATATTTTCCTGTTTCGCAGGCATGCAGGAGTCCTGGAAATGGCCGTGCAAAGCTTCTACAAGAAGATCCCCGACCCTGAGAATGGTGCCAGCCGACATACGGGTTCCTCTGCAGATGAACAGGAGCCTGATTCCGAGAGCATAGCCGTGTCATTGAACCACGATCTGAGCATGTTACGAATCATAGAGACGTTTGCAGAGAGCGCCCCGCAGCTCACGCTCATGCTCACCATCATTCTGCAGCAGGGCTATCCAGATCTTATTACAGGTACAATTCTTAATGGACACGTGTTCTTTATATCTGTGTGCTTTTTTTTTTTTGTTTGTTTCCTCTTCTTTCTTTTTTTGTTTGTAAGTTCATTTATAACTTTATACAGTGGCTTGCAAAAGTATTCGGCCCCCTTTCCCACATTTTGTCACATTACAGCCACAAACAGGAATAAATTTTATTGGAATTCCGCGTGAAAGACCAACAAAGTGGTGCACACGTGAGAAGTGGAACGAAAATCATACATGATTCCAAACATTTTTTACAAATAAATAACTGCAAAGTGGGGTGTGCGTAATTATTCAGCCCCCTGAGTCAATACTTTGTAGAACCACCTTTTGCTGCAATTACAGCTGGCAGTCTTTTAGGGTTTGTCTCTACCAGCTTTGCACATCTACAGACTGAAATCCTTGCCCATTCTTCTTTGCAAAACAGCTCCAGCTCAGTCAGATTAGATGGACAGAGTTTGTGAACAGCAGTTTTCAGATCTTGCCACAGATTCTCAATTGGATTTAGATCTGGACTTTGACTGGGCCAGTCTAACACATGGATATGTTTTGTTTTAAACCATCCCATTGTTGCCCTGGCTTTATGTTTAGGGTCGTTGCCCTGCTGGAAGGTGAACCTCCGCCCCAGTCTCAAGTCTTTTGCAGACTCCAAGAGGTTTTCTTCCAAGATTGCCCTGTATTTGGCTCCATCCATCTTCCCATCAACTCTGACTAGCTTCCCTGTCCCTGCTGAAGAGAAGCGCCCCCAGAGCCTGATGCTGCCACCACCATATTTGACAGTGGGGATGGTGTGTTCAGAGTGATGTGCAGTGTTAGTTTTCCGCCACACATAGCGTTTTGCATTTTGGCCAAAAAGTTCCATTTTGGTCTCATCTGACCAGCTTCTTCCACATGTTTGCTGTGTCCCCCACATGGCTTGTGGCAAACTGCAAACAGGACTTCTTATGGTTTTCTGTTAACAATGGCCTTCTTCTTGCCACTCTTCCATAAAGGCCAACTTTGTGCAGTGCACGACTAATAGTTGTCCTATGGACAGATTCCCCCACCTGAGCTGTAGATCTCTGCAGCTCGTCCAGAGTCACCATGGGCCTCTTGGCTGCATTTCTGATCAGCGCTCTCCTTGTTGGGCCTGTGAGTTTAGGTGGACGGCCTTGTCTTGGGAGGTTTACAGTTGTGCCATACTCCTTCCATTTCTGAATGATGGCTTGAACAGTGCTCCGTGGGATGTTCAAGGCTTGGGAAATCTTTTTGTAGCCTAAGCCTGCTTTAAATTTCTCAATAACTTTATCCCTGACCTGTCTGGTGTGTTCTTTGGACTTCATGGTGTTGTTGCTCCCAATATTCTCTTAGAGAACCTCTGAGGCCGTCACAGAGCAGCTGTATTTGTACTGACATTAGATCACACACAGGTGCACTCTGTTTAGTCATTAGCACTCATCAGGCAACGTCTATGTGCAACTGACTGCACTCAGACCAAAGAGGGCTGAATAATTACGCACACCTCACTTTGCAGTTATTTATTTGTAAAAAATGTTTGGAATCATGTATGATTTTCGTTCCACTTCTCACGTGTACACCACTTTGTGTTGGTCTTTCACGTGGAATTCCAATAAAATTGATTCATGTTTGTGGCTGTAATGTGACAAAATGTGGGAAAGTTCAAGGGGGCCGAATACTTTTGCAAGCCACTGTATGTACAGGAGATAGTCAAAATCTCCTTCTTGTCAAACACATTTATTGCAACCAACTGTGAGCACCAATCTGATTTGATATATTAGAGTTCCAACAGCTTATGTTTCTGATGTAGAGAAACGACCACTAGTACCTTGGATTTTTGATCACCTTTGCATAATTCATTGAGGGAAAACCTTTAATGGCTTCTAACCACGTGTGATATTGTCATTGTTGGAATTTTCCCCCTGGCTTCAGTAAATGCACTAATGTTATCTTACATTAAAAGTTTGGTGATTCTGAGGTGATCAGGTTGGAATACTTTCCAGATTTTTTTCGTCTTCATACAGAATCACCTGGCTTAACAAGATTTCTCAGTCATTTCTGGACTTTCTAACGCTGCCTCTCGTTTCCCTCAGTGTTGAAGGCCGTCGGCTCGGCCTCGGCTATCGCCTTCACTGTGACGACCTATCATCGCTCCCTGCGCTCTTTCCTGCCTGACAAGAAGAAGCAGAACATAACCTCATCAGTCATCTACTTCACCTGGAACCTGGTTCTCATCTCTTCTCGTCTCACTGCACTCGCTCTTTTCGCCTCCGTGCTGCCCTGCTTCATCTTCACCCACTTCATCTGCTCTTGGCTGGTTTTATTCTTCTTCGCTTGGCGATCCAAGACAGAGTTCATGGAAAGTCCTTGTGGAGAATGGCTTTATCGAGCTACTGTTGGCCTCATTTGGTATTTCGACTGGTTTAATGTGGCCGAGGGGAAGACGCGGTACAGGACTGTGCTCTATCACGGGTATATGCTGACTGATATTTGCATCCTCTGTGCCGTGTGGTGCTGGAAGATGAGCACAGATCCTCCTGATTTTGTGATAGAGCCCATGCACGCTTTAATCATAGCTGTCTGTGTTGTTGTGGTTTACATCCTCGGTCTAATACTCAAAGTTATTTATTATAAGTTCTTCCACCCAAACCTTGACAGCGATGAGCAGCAATCTGTAGATGAGGTGGACTTCCGCATGATGAGCTCTGCAACAGAAGTCTCAGCACACTACAATAAAAGAATGAGGAAGCTGGCCAAGAATTTCTACTCATGACCTGCATCATTTGACATCCACAGGATGTGGAGGCTACAAAGAGACTCAGTCATGCAGATGTCATGAAACCAGCTACTTTTTAAAGCTAGATCATAAAGGCTGTGTGATATTGTGGATCACCTGCTTCCTAACCAATCACTCATACATTCTCACATGGCATTACTCAACTTAGTTTGGAGACAAATTCTTAAAAGCACTTTCTGCTCTTCATTAAGTGGTGCTACCATCTAACAAAACATTTCTAGACATCAGTCTTTTGTTTTCCTTTAAAAGGACAGGCTTTCAGGTCAGTAACATGCATGTTTGAAACTGTTATGGAGATCTTTTTGAAATATTATTGCACTGCTTTTTAAAAAAAAAATAAATTTTTTTTATTTTTCTGAAGAATATAACGGTGTAAAAAAACTAATTTAAAAAATATATTTTCTTTATTATAACAAAGCAATATTCTAACAATGTTGCACTATTGTAAACTGTACTTTACTCAAGTCTAAAGTACAAATGTTCTGTTTTACAGAATTAATGAGTTGCCTTAAAATCCCCAGACAGCCTCCATGGACCTGAAATCTTGATTTCTTGAGCAATAGAGCACCTCTCTCTCCTAATACAGATTTATTCTGGTTTAGATTTGAAACATGTGATAAGGCTGCCATTTTTTTTGAATAATATAGATGGCTCAGTGTCAGACTGTTTTTCTACAGTGTTTGCCAAGATCACTTGGACTGATGTGGATATAACACAACGCATCTAAAATACGTTAAGGCTGCTACATGGTGAAAAGATGCCAATGCCTTCCGTTTGACTCCCAGTGTTGATGACCTTTACAATCAATAATGTAATTTTTTATTTTTTATGTTAAGCAAACTTGGATTTAAAAAGGTGTATGAAGCTACAAAACATATTTATGTCACATAGTGCCTACTTAAGTTTGTTTGATGTGTTTAAGTTAATTTATTAATCTATTGTAACAGAATTCCCAACTTTGGGATAAAGTATATTTTGTCTAAGATTATTATTATTATTATTATTATTATTATTATTATTAGTTTTAATGGAAATAAATCCTTGTATGACATGACTATTCTGCAGTGGGTTATTTATGATTATGTGGTCAATTATTTATTTTTTTAAATGGCTGAAAAACATATAATATTAGCTTTAGAGCTATATGAAACAATAGTTTAAAGCTTTGTCGGTCACTTTCAGTTCTGTGTGCAAATGAATCCAAACAAAAGGAGACAAATGTTATTATAAATTAAACACACTTTTACCGAAAAGAAGAAACAAATTCTATTGTAACTTATTTTATATAATGAATACATTTTGATGTATGTTGGAACAAACTACACTTCTTTATCTTAAATTGTAATTTCATTATTTTAGTTGTACAAAATACTATTGAGTTGTGCTCTTATATTAGATTATGTATCGGAATTTCAGAAGTGCGACCACGCCTCCAAACACGCTCCTTCCGGTTGTCATCTATATATGTTCCCCCAGTTCTGCAAGCTGTTCATTCTCGTTTACGTGCCCCACCCTCTCTCCCTCCTTGGGGATCTACCAGGCTCAGTTCATGTCCAAGCACTCACCTTTACCTACTAAGACGCTGTCAAACCTAAAATGAGGACGTGGACCCAGCCAGTGAATTTCAAAATATAATAATACAAGTTATCGTCCTTCTTTTCTATTTCTTATTTGTGCATTTAAAACAATCGGGTCCTGAGAAAGTAAGTGTGTTATTGTAACACATTGACTGAGCAGCGAGGGGGCGCTGTTAAGTCATCTCAACCAAAGGGGATGACGTGCTGCACTCTGATCTTGACAGTGGTAGTAGCGCACTACACTGATGGAGGAGTACAAATGCACCATAACTGACTTTGACAGGTTGATTCTTTTCAGCTGGTACAGGAAGTGCATCGTCTGTGCCTTCCTGATGAAGTAGATGATGTTTAGCTCCCACTTTTAGGTCCTGGGAGATTATGTTTTCAAGGAAGTGGGAGGACCTCACTGTCTCCACGGGGCAGGCCTGCAGGGTCTGTGTTATGATCTACTTAAAACTCCAAATATGCAGCTAGAGTCCTTTTGCAAAAGAAAAAAAGCAAACAAAACATAAACAGTAAAAATTTAAGTTATGCAACAAAAAAAAAAAGTAAACTTGGTAACGGACTAAAAGAATAATTCATTCAAAAAAATGTATGCAACAAGTAATGCATGTTTGATCAGGATTTTATCAGCTGCTGTTCTTTCTCACATGTTGCACACACATGAATGAGTCTGCTTTAGGTCTGCTCTCAATACTGGAGTTAGGGAGCTGCATGGACAGAGGGTGTAGTGCGAAGGATGCTCGGCTGTCTGCTGAGATTCCTGCACCTGTAGAAACATTGTTTACAAGCAAATGAAATGAAAGCACTGATTCGTTTGGCAGCTGCACTGTACTCCCTTACAGAGGTGCAGTAGTTAGCCTCATAGTGAAGTAGTGTCAGGTTCAAATCAAGGCCGAGACCTTTCTATGTTTGGTTCACGTTCTCCTCTACAGGTACTCTGGTTTCCTCCCATAGTCCAAAAACATGCTCCATTAGGCTAAGTGGGAATTCTGACATGGCCATGGCTGTTAATGGTTATCTGCTCTCTGTGTCGCAACAGGCTGACAACCTGCCCAGGTTCTATCTTGCTTCTCACCCAATCACAGCTGTGATAACCTCCACCAGCTATGAACCTAGTTTTTAAGTGTTTTCTGGTCATGTCTCCATTTTCTTGTATTCAATAGGTGGCTGATGACATTTGACGTTTCACGTAATCGGATGGAAATTGTTTTGTTTAGACAATAGTGGCTCGTTTTTATGCACGAATACCTGCTGTCATAAGCATGCTTACAGAGAAACTCAACTCAGCATATTTGGCAAGTAGTTAAAGTGGAACTGGTTATGTTTCATGTTGTTCTGGTTTTCAGAGATGCAGGAATACTAAAGAGGTTTGTACAAATCCTCACCACTGACTTTTCTGATCTGGGTGCCACACTGACAGTCACTATCATTCTGCAGATTGGTGCAGATTTTGTGATAGGTTCAGTTTCTTTTTCAATTTCAGGCCATTTTCATTTAGAGAAAATTCCTGATTCCAACTTGTCACAATGTCTTGGGATGTGCACCAAGAATAATAATACTCTTTCATGAGAAAATGTGATTTTATATGGTCAAAGGAGCTTGTAAAGAAAAGCGTCTGGACTTGTTTAAGTTGCTTGTACTCTGGGGCCTCTGGATATCTGGGGCCTGGATCTCCTCCATACCTGCTTCATACCCTGGAGGACGGGGCTGTGGCTCCCCACACTCCCTAGCAGATCGTTACATGGAGAAACCTTTGGAATACAAGCATGCTGATCCACACAGGTGTGCACACAGGTGTACACACGGGTGTACACAGACGCGGACTACAGCTTTCTTGGCTGCTGCCTCAAAGCACATTGTGCGCTGTCTATCTTGCGTGCTGCACAATATCGTTTATTATTTAGTATCTACTGTTATCTACTGCTAGCTAGTTTATTGTGATGGTGCTGTTTTTTTTATTATGTTGCTCTTTGTTGTTTGCTTTCTCTTCTGTTTTTTTTCTCCATACAGGTGACCCAGGTGTTTTGTTTGTTTTGTTTTTTTTTCTTTCTCCCCCCCCTTCTCACCGTCTCTTCTCCCCTTTGGTTTTCTTTCTCTCCCTCTCTTTCTTTCATTCTTTCTCCCTGTCCTATCCCCCAGTCATGTCTGTCCTGTTTGTAGCAACTGAAAATAAAATAAATACATAATTATAATAAAGGTCAATCAAATGGACCAATATGGCAAGGCCATGATGATCCAGTTGGTAAAATAAATCCGCTTGGCATCTTTCTTGGCCTTAAGACAACAATTCTGATGGCTAAAGATCCAAACGGGACACAAAAAAATAAAATAAAAATAAAAATAAATAAATAAAAATACCTAAAAAAAAATACCTAAAAATGAACACAACTTAAACAAGTCCAGACGCTTTTCTTTGCAAGCTCCTTTGACTATGATGACCTGGATGACTGAGAATCTTCACAGACGTGATTTTATTTGCAATTTTGGTCAACTTCCTTTAAAAAAATGGGCCAATACTTGCTGGCTTTTGCAATTAAAGTACAAGTACAGCACTTTCAAATCTAAACATTTATTTTGCATTTAAATGCATTTCTATTAAATGTGAACATAATAATATTTATAACAGATAAGGTGTGTTAAAACTCTATGACTGTGATCAGTTGCAGATCTTCTACTGATTTTTCAATGGAAATACCACAGCATTGTTAAAGGGAAACCTTTCAGTAGGAGGAGTCTACATGTATGGAATATGCCGATACATCTTTAAGACGCTACTGAAAAAAAAAAAGGGTGGATCAGTTTCTAGGAGGTTTTTTTTTTTAAAACCAAAGTTTGGTTCTCACTGTCAGTCATTCACAGGTTATACTTGAGTTGTAATCAGCTGTCAGTTATAAGATGCAGCTGTGTTAGAAGCAGGCAGCGGGACAGAGAACATGTCAGACACTCAGGGTGAGTCTAAATACTCCTGCTGGGATTTTCTCATCACTTGCGTGGGCCTGCCCTTGTTTCTGACTGACATAGGACTGGATATATGGGCCGCTATTATCTTCTACCAAGAAAAGGCATACGCCTGCCTCGGTGTTCTGCTGCTGCTACTTGTGGGGTCAACACTGCTGGCTCAGGCTTACAGCTGGCTTTGGTACAGCTATGACCAGTTTAAGATGAAGACAAAGGTTGAAGGCCTGCCTACCCAGAGGCAGCTCACGGCTCTGCACGTTTGTCAGCTCGGAGTTTACGTCAGGTAGTATTAAAACAATAATAATGTGTGTAAAGGCTGAGGCTTGTGTGGGAAGCTTAAATTTATTTGCCTGTTTCTAGACAGGTGCAGTTTTTTGTAGAGTAGTTCATAGGAAACACAAGCTGAACCATTAAGTGTTGTGCAGCTGAACTGTACTCCACTACAGTGGTGCACATAGTATATACAGTAACTCCAGCAAGCATCAGTCTGCTGCATTAAGTAATCTACACATTATATCATCTGTTTCATTCACAGTTTTTTTTGCAATATTTCTGTGTTTAAATCAACTGTTGTGAACATGAGAATATTAGAAACACAAGCTGTTTCCTTGGTTTCAGAAGATAAACGGAGGACACATTTTATTTCCTTCATCATAAGTGGGTAAACTGGTTTCATTTGCTCCTTTTCACGCAATGAATACCTGCTGGCTCACAAGAATGGTTCCAGAGAAATTAGTCTCAGTGTAGCTAGAAGGAGGATTCGGTCTGACTGGTTATGCTTCATATTTTTCTGTTTCTCAGGCATGCAGGAGTCCTGGAAATGGCAGTACAAAGCATGTACAATAGGCTCCCTGACCCTGAGAAAGGTGCCCTTACGCCAGGAGAACAGAAACCTAAGACTGAGGACATTACCGTGTCCTTGACCCACGATCTAAGCATGTTACGGATCATAGAGACATTTTCAGAGAGCGCCCCTCAGCTCACGCTCATGCTCACCATCATTCTGCAGACGGGCCACCTGGATCCTGTGACAGGTGCAGTTTTACATTTTTACACAAAAATGTATTTTTGAAATCTGTCAAAAAAAAATTTCACATCTAGAATGGACTGAATTCACTGAGCTGAACCCATGTTTTTAAACATGGCAGGTGCAGGAGTTTTTTCATTCATGTATAGTCTGGTATGTTTGAGAAAACAGTGAGAGTCACTGTGTTCTTAATGATTTAAGTGAATGCTGAGGTCCTGAAGTAGAAACACCTATAGGAATGTCAGTTAAGTTTTTCAAGGGTAAATTCAATAAGGCGAGATAAAGAATTTACCACGATTTTTTGAGATAGAGAAATTAACGGATTTGGTAATTAGGCTCCAAAGACCCATCATGTCAGAACTGGGTCCCAGCAGTTATAGGATTTAGGACAGGACCCCCCGGAGTCTAGATGGTGATGATGGTGAAGACAGAGGCTTGCATAGAGGTCTGGCTGCGGTGTCTGAGGTGGATGAGGGGAGGAGCTGGATTGCATGAAAAAGAATCTGAAAGGGAGAGTGACACAGAGCACAGATTAAACCGTGCAAAGCGGAAGCTGATTGGCTCAAAGAAGGCGGGCGAGAAGACGTTTGGACTAGAGTAATGATGTTAGAGTGTCCCATGTGATGACATAATTATAAAATCAATAGCCAACCTGAGATTTCAGCACATTGTGCTAAGTTGAATCGGTCGATCCTTCCAGTAACACTTCTACAGATTTTAATTTCATGTCGTCGCGTGTGTGAACATTCAAGTTCCCCAGTAGGACAAGAGAGTTCCCGGGCAGGGTCCTTTCAGCAACCAGCCCAGACACTCCAAGATTGTCAGGTACACTGAACTGTTATTTGACACATGTGGCAACAGTCAGCACCTGTTCCCTGAACTGAAGGCACAGGGAAGCAACCCTCTCATCCACTTTGGAAAACCGCAATGGAAAGTCACCAAGCCAGAGGAGATACGAATATATCCACCCCTGAGCGCCGGCTGTCACTGTGAGCAACTCCAGATAGGAACATAGTTTATCCCCTCTCCAGACCCCAAAAAATTCCAACACAATTACAAAGAATTGGTAACGAATGTCACAGTTACTGATCAGGAATAACTATCAAAAAGTATAGATCAATCAAATAATTTTGCCTTCATTCTAAAACATATTCACGGCTCCTACATTAGCCTCTAATTACTAGTCTATTATACATAATAATTATTTACATTATCCAAATTGATAGGAGACATGACAATTAAAATATTTAAAGTACATATATCAACTTTCACTTCCTGCACATATGGGGCGATCGTGGCTCAAGAGTTGGAAGTTCGCCTTGTAATCGGAAGGTTGCCGGTTCGAGCCCCGGCTTGGACAGTCTCGGTCGTTGTGTCCTTGGGCAAGACACTTCACCCGTTGCCTACTGGTGGTGGTCAGAGGGCCCGGTGGCGCCAGTGTCCGGCAGCCTCGCCTCTGTCAGTGCACCCCAGGGTGGCTGTGGCTACAATGTAGCCTGCCATCACCAGTGTGTGAATGTGTGTGTGAATGGGTGGATGACTGGATATGTAAAGCGCTTTGGGGTCCTTAGGGACTAGTAAAGCGCTATATAAATACAGGCCATTTACCATATGTTGTCCTCTTTCTTCCGTCTTCCATGTGGCAAGTCCATAAAGGTCAAATAAATCATAGATAATCTGTCAGAGTCTGTCTGTCACAATCAGAGTCAAGGTTAAGTTCAAAGTGTCACTCCTCATCCTGCTTCAGCTTCCTGCAGCAGGCAAATCTTCATTATTGCTCAATCCAGGCAGCTGCTCTTTGTTTTGATGTGCACCGCACATCCAGTATCTCAGAAAATTAAAAATTAAAATTATTCATTAAATATACTAAAGTCTGCTGATTCTGAGTAGACATATCCAAATTTGATAGATTTGTATTCGGGATGAACCACTTTACAGCATTTTTCAGTGTTTGTCATTTGCATCTTGCTGGTTCTGACACTGTCTCTTGTTCCCCTCAGTGTTGAAGGCTGTTGGTTCAGCTTCAGCTATCGCCTTCACTGTGACGGCCTACCATAGCTCGCTGCGCTCTTTCCTGCCTGACAAGGAGAAGCAGCAAATAACCTCATCAGTCATCTACTTCACCTGGAACCTGGTTCTCATCTCTTCCCGTCTCACTGCCCTCGCTCTTTTCGCCTCCGTGCTGCCCTGCTTCATCTTCACCCACTTCATCTGCTCTTGGTTGGTTTTATTCTTCTTCGCTTGGCGATCCAAGACAGAGTTCATGGAAAGTCCTTGTGGAGAATGGCTTTATCGAGCCACTGTTGGCCTCATTTGGTATTTTAACTGGTTTAGTGTGGTGGAGGGGAAGACGCGGTACAGGACTGCGCTCTATCACGGGTATATGCTGACTGATATTTGCATCCTCTGTGCTGTGTGGTGCTGGAAGATGAGCACAGATCCTCCTGATTTTGTGATAGAGCCCATGCACGCTTTAATCACAGCTGCCTGTGTTGTTGCAGTTTACATCCTCGGTCTAATACTTAAAGCTATTTATTATAAACTTTTCCATCCAAACCTTGACAAAAGTAAGATTAAAGGGACCAGCAGAGAGCAGCAACCTGTAAATGAGACAAATATGGGTGATGAACCGGACGCATGTATGTTTAGAGCCAAAGCAGCCCCTTCCCCACCACCACAACCATGTTGTAATAAAAGAATGAGGAAGCTGGCTGAGAGCTTCTACTGCTAACCTGTTTCACTTTCACAGGAAGCTATAAAGAGACCGAGTCATCACAGGGCTGTGTGTGATTAAGGACTCTAACCTTCTGCATGATTAACCACATATACAGTCGGCTCCGGTTTATGATTTCTGCTCGCTATTAACTGGCTCTACTGTCTAACAAAGCATTCAAAACGCCATTCAAAGTTTGTTTTCCCTACCTTTAATCTTCAGGTCTGTAATGTTCTTGTATGAAATAGTTATCTTTTGCTGTGAAGACATGTTCTTCCATGACTTTCCAGTGGCTGTTCAGTCTTAAAGAATATAGTCATGATTTTTAATTAAAATATTTTATGATCATTTAAAATACAAAAAACATTTCACAAATAATATTTCAGCTTCCAGAAAAGGAAGCAACGATATTTCCTGTTTTTTAAAAAAAAAAAAAATCTATGTATATAATTTGTTTTTTCTGTCATCATGTCATTGTGTAAATTACTAATTGAATTTGAAATCTACTCAGTTTTTAAGACGTCTTTAATTATGAAAAACAGCAGATTTTTAAAAGTTTTTATGCAGATTTTACTCTAAAGTTCCAAGATAACTTTCTAATTAATTTAGGTGCTCCTATTGAGACTTCTTAGCACCAAGATTTGTTTGATATATAACCCTCAAGATGTTTTGTTTACATCGATATGTTTTGGTCAAACTCTGATGTGAGCCTTCCAATTTCACCTGCTTTGGATGTTTTCAGCTCTTTCGGTGCACGTTTTCAGCAGTGATCAGCCTCATCTCAGTCTTCCATCAACATGCTATCAGGGTTTAAAGCCACATTTTAATGAATAATTTGCTTAAGGCATATTTAGAAACACACCATATGAAGGTTCTTTGTTATAAATGTTTATATTTGATATTTTATTTGTAATAGTTGATTACACTTGCCTCTTGCCTAATTTCATGCTTGTTTAAAATCCAGGCGCTGCTGACATATGATCAGTTTTGTGTTCTTAGTATCAGCCTGAGTGTGTGCAGAGAGGCTGTTGTGTTAGATGCAGGCCTCTTTCTTTATTAGGATTTTATTCTGGTTTTTCTTTCCTGACACAAACCTCACATGAACTTGTGTCTGCTCCTGGTGTCAAAGCAAAATCCTTCCTGTTATAACTACAACACAAAATTCTACATAATTTTACATCATCTCATGGTGGGTAAAAGTCCTTTGAAACACTCCTGAGGATCGACTGCAAACGTTTATCGTTTCCATGTTTGGAGCCCCACCTCTGATAAATTGGTCAGCAAATCTTATCACAGGGTTTTGATGGGAAATGGACAAACTGAACCAATCAGTGAGGCAACAATCTCCTTTGTGACATAAAAGTACTTCCCCGTCTTATCACCTTGACACATTTTCACCTCTAAAGCTCCCAGGCTTCAACAATTAGTTAAATCAAACAAGTTTCTTATTTGTTACAAAGAAAGAAAGAAAATATATCACACATGAAATTTCATGACAGAAAATAGCCTTATTACCTTACAAACTTTAGGAAATGATCTGTGTGGTCTGTCTGAATACAACAGATGTTTTTCATATGGATTAATCTTCCATCAGAAACCAAAACTTGTTCTTTCTACACTGCAACAATTCTTATGAAGAACTCCAATGAAAATCTTTTGAAAGCTGTAAGTTGTATTTATACTAAATATGTTGTGAATATTTTCTGTGGTTTACATTTGTAATTCAGTTTCTTCTCAAACAGTTTTTCATGTGAAATAAAAAATACAAACTGAGTCTGAAACTTTAAAACATGTATTTACATTATATTTAAATCTTACAGAGCTGTTGGGAGTAAACAGTGATTATTCTCATTAAATAATTAGCAATAATTATTATGATAGTGTTCAATCTTCAGGGTCTCTTCACTCCTAATGGCCTCACATGTCTTATTTTGTACATTAGCATGTTTACCACGGAAAAAGGAACAAATAAATTCCACTGAGTATTACATGATCATTATGAACTATTATTATGTATTATTTAGAGCTATGGTATATATTTCAATAGACACTTAAGACCAAGTAAAAAGTGAACATGCTGAACGGACGCAAAGGCCTCTTAGTTTTCTACATTTTTGCTTATTTTTTCTTGGATTCACACTTTGTTAAAGCTGCTTTTTATATTTTGATCTACAATAAAAACACCACAAATCAGGGATTCTGTTTAAGTGATACTGAATGTTTTACACAAAAGGAAAAAATAAACTCTTCTTCAAAAGCTGAAACACATCAGACTGTTGAGAAGAATATGAGCGTATGTTCCAAACCTTCATCACGTTCCCTCAACTGAAACACATTTCTTTAAACTCTGAGCCGCTGTGCATGTAGAGTGTTCATGGAGACCTTACAGATGCAGTGCAGAAAAAAGGTTGACTACACCAAGATAACACTTAATGACAATGCAGATGATTTCTCCAGTTAAGCATATGGACGATGGTTAAAAACACAACATAAATATGCACACAATGACATGTGACACAAACAAAGCTACACAGAAAAATATTTAAACAACAAGCAGAAAAGTATTGCACTGTCATATTTCTTTGTCATATGGATTAGTGATGATCACTTAAAGTAACTGCAAAGTTTTAGTGATCTCTAAATTCTCATATATTTCAGTTTTGACTGTAGATTTCTGTAAATGTAACAACTTTCATACATTTTTTTAAAATCAAAAAAACAATATCCTGATCCTGATCCCAACCAAGCATTTATCATTTGATAAATGGTTTGATAAACAATTATTGGTTATTTAATAAACCAAACAATTTATGCTTTTATCAGGTTTCTGTGACTTTTCTTAGACAAGAATTATGTTTAGTTTCAAATGAAAACAGTAAAAAAGTTTCATGGTTTAGGAAACTGAGCACTAAAGTTCACAGAAAAAAAAGCTGTTTTAATAAATTAACCATGTCAGTTGAAAGAACTTATCTGTCTTCACAGCACACCACTGGGATTTAGACAACAGTCGGCTTTATTCATCTAGAGCCTAGAGAAAACAGGGGAAAGGGCGTCCCCTGGCTTGCATCAAGGTGCAAGCATAAGACAGGATATGATTTAACTACATTTTGTCACAATATACAGTACTTTTAAAAAATACTGTATCATGATTTCTTATTTTTCAGCTCATGCCATGGCTGCAGTAATAGGGATACCAATCACAAAGGCTGTACAAAGGTCTAGTATTATTGTGGATGGCCATATTGAAAAAATAAGCCCATGTGTAGGAGTTAAAAACAAAAAAATGCTAAATCTACTGTAATGAAATCATCGTAAAATCACCAACCTGATCAGTAGGCGACCTGCTCTAAACGCATTTCTGTGTGTTTAGATAACAAAAGCTAGTGTTTATCTCACTCACCCACTCCATGTTTGTTTACTTTGTTATCAGAGCTGACACTAAAGTAAAATCTTTGTTTACTTTAGTTTCAATTCAGACTTGACCTGATCTGATATCAGACAATTTAAAGTTAAAACACTTGCACATCAGTAATAGTTGATAGAAAGTGTTCAGATAAACTTTTTTTTTTATGTTTATCAGATATTTGGATTGGGAATCAGTGACAGCGATTTGATGCATTGATTGTGTTGAAAATTTGAAAGTATACAACATCTACTACTTGATTATTTGAAAAGGTTTTTTTCCAATAGCGCAAAGAATTTGTGTTGTATTCTGTTTATCCGGCATAAGCCTGAAGGACACACGTTGGAAGTGAGAAATAACTTTATTAAATTATGAGAAGATCTGAAATATAAATGGTTTAATGCATTCGGAACGATCTCTGCTGATATCAAAAGTCCAGATCGTTGCTTATTTTTCATTTTTCTCTCGTCAATCTTAATGTGTTGATGTTGATTTTTTCTTCTTTTATGTTTGTTTTTACAGTTTTAGGTTGTTTTAAGTTGTATTCATGTCTCGGTGGACATACTACAGTTGATTATATGTATGCATGTGTGTAAAATGGTACAATATGTCTTTAAGATGTGTGGATCAGTTTCTAGGAGGTGTTTTTTAAACAATGCCTCTTTCAGTTTCAGTTTATGAGCTTGTCTTAAACCTTAACATACAGCTGCTTCAGAAGCAGGCCATCTAGTCAGCATGCTGGGCTCTGAGGATGAGTTTAAATGCTGCACTCGGGACTTTCTCTTCACTTGTGTGAACTTGTTGTCTTTCCTGCTTGATATAGGGCTGGATATATGGGCTGCTGTGTCCCTCTACAAGCAGGAGGCCTACGTGTACTTCAGCCTCCTGCTGCTGTTTCTCTTGGGCTCGTCCATGTTGGTTCAGGTGTACAGCTGGCTGTGGTACCGCTACGATGATTTTAAGATGAAGACAAAGATTGAGAAGAAGCCGAGCCAGTGCCAGCTCAAGCTGCTGCATGTTTTCCAGCTGGGGATCTTCTTCAGGTTGTTTCATGATGATATTTGTGCGTTCATAGAGCCCCAGGCACCATCTTTACATTTCCTCACCTGTTCCTTGAAATATTTGATTTATAGGAAATAAATTTACATGAACTTGTTTGTTTGGCAGCTGCACTACAGAAGTACACACCTGTAGTAACATTTAATCATCTACAAATTGTTCTGTTTAATTTCCTCTTGATTTTAGGTTTCTGTTTATAGACCCATGAATCATACATTCAATTTCTGTTCAGTATATAAGTCACATCAATTGCTGACTTACTTTTTTACTACTTAGGTTCTGTAGATTTTTCTTTAATATAATTGGGTAAAGCCTGTTTTGTTCGGACGTTTGTTGCTCCTTTTCTGCTTCGAGATCTTTTCAGTTCAGCGTGTCCGGCGGGAGGATTTGTTGTAACTGGTTTTTCTGGTTCTCAGGTATGCAGGAGTCATGGAGAAGTCTGTGCAAAGCTTATACAGAAAGCGCGCTGACGCTGAGAGTGTGGCCAAGTTTCTGAGACAGGATCTCCGCATTTTGCGCTTCATAGAGACGTTTTCAGAGAGCGCCCCGCAGCTTGCTCTCATGCTCACCATCATTCTGGACAAATGTCGGCTGGATCCTGTTACAGGTACAGTTTGTTACTCAGCTTTTGATCACGTATACTTGGATCACTCAGGTGTAGCTTTTCATTGAAAGTAGAATTACGAATAAAACCACATTCAAAGTTTTCTCATTTGTTTATAACTTGAATTCCAAAAGGGTTGGGACGCTGTATAAATTGTAAATAAAAACAAATTCCAATGATCTGCAAATTAATAAACACTTATTTTATTTACAACAGAACATAGAAAATATATCAGTCTATCATCAACCTAATTTTGAGTTTGATGGCGGCACCATGTGTCAATAAAGTTGGAACAGGGTCAAATTTCCCACTATGTATTTTCCCCTTTTCTTTTAACGACAGACTGTAAATGTCTGGGAACTGAGGCGACCAGCTGCTGGACTTTTGGGAGAGGAACACTGTCCCATTCTTGCCTGATGTACGATTGTAGCTGATCAGCAGTTCTGAGTCGCATTTTTTGTTTCATGATGCTGCAAATGTTTTCAGTTGGTGAGAGATTGTGACTGAAGGCAGACCAGGTCACCCAGACTCTATCATGAAGCCTTTATAATACACAGTATGCAGTTCAGCCTTGTCTTGCTGTGTTGTTCAGTTTCTTTCTAAGGCTCTCTCTACAAAAAGAGGTCTGTATGGGAGCAGGTGTTATTCTAGAAACTTTCAGCATTGATGGTGCCTTTCCAGATGTGGAGGCAGGGTACACCCTGGACAGCTCACCAGTCTATCACATAGAGACAAACAACCATTTACACTCACATTCAGGAGTAATTTGGAATGACCAATTAACCTAACTCTAATTGTGTTACTGTTAACTGTGGGAGGAAACCAGAACACCCAGTGGATTGTGGATTTGAACCACAAAGCGATGGCATACACGTGGTGTGTGTGTAGCTGTCTGCCTCTGCCCAGTGGTTTTCCTGCAGTTTTTGAAAACTCATGTGATCTTGTTAATTTCAGGAGTCCAGAAACTAACCACTCTTACTAGATTGTAACAGGTCATCTCACCAGGAACAAATTAAGTTGCTGAATTTCATGCAGATCCTACATGATTTAATTACTTTCACCATAGAAACATGAAATTATTTTCTTCAAATTACAAGTTAGACTTTTTTAATGTAACAACCACCCAATTTACTTTTTTCGGTATACCAAAAAAAAAGTAGAGGCGGCTGCTCGACTTGACTGAGATGGATGCCTTCCTCAAACCACGATCCAAAGCGTGAACTGAAATCCTGTGCAGTGTCACGGGATTTAATATATTAGCTATATCATTGACTTACTTCACTCGAACATGATATGAACAATTTAATCATGTAGTTGCTACACTATATAGTTACACTTAACTTTAAAGCATGAGTCACTTGTGTTAAATACATGCAAGCTGCTTATGTAAATCCAAGAGCTGGCCAATCCCTTTTTTTCAGTGTAGATGATGAGGAACACTGAGGAACATGTTTCTGAAATTGTTCACTTACTCGTCCAGCCTTCTTTTGCCTCCATGAGACGTGTTGCTGCCATCAAATTCAAAATTGCTTCAATTTTTGTGTGAAATCTTGTCATCAAATTTTGGAAAGTGAAATTGCAGCAGACAATCAAAAGCATCTTTGCTGGAGCTCACACAGAGAAATAATTATACTAACCTGCTATAATTGGTTGATGTGAAAATGTTAAATGCCAAATGATCGCTGTTTCTGTGAAAACAATCATCATACAGTCTAAATAATAAAATACTGAATGACAAAAAATGTTTGAAAATATTTGGGGTTGCTCTTTGAACTCGTAAATTACTTGGATCTTCTAACAAAGAATCAACGTTTGTTCTGACTCTGCCCCTCGCTCTCTCCTCAGTGTTGAAGGCCATCGGCTCGACTTTGTCCATCGCCTCCTTTTTGACCACCTATGATCACTCAATGCGCACCTTCCTGCCAGAGAAGGAAAAACACCACATGATCTCATTAGTTTTCTACTTCATCTGGAACCTGGTTCTCATCTCTTCTCGCATCGCTGCTCTCGCTCTTTTCGCCTCCGTGCTGCCCTGCTTCATCTTCGCCCACTTCATCTGCTCTTGGCTGGTTTTATTCTTCTTTGCTTGGCGATCCAAGACCAGCTTCATGGATGACCCTCGTGGAGAATGGCTTTACAGAACCACTGTTGGCCTCATTTGGTATTTTAACTGGTTTAGTGTGGCCAAGGGGATGAGGATCAGGTCCGTGCTCTATCACGCGTATATCCTTATTGATATTTGCATCCTCTGTGGTTTGTGGTGCTGGAAGATGAGCACAGATCCTCCTGATTTTGTGACACACCCTTTAACCACGGCTGCCTGTGTTGTTGCAGTTTACGTCCTTGGTCTGTTATTTAAAGTTATTTATTATACGTTCTTCCATCCAAACCTTGATAAAGATAAGCTGAAAGGGGCCACCATCACAGAGGAGCAACCTGAAGATGAAGAGCGATCTCATTCAGTTCCTACACGTCCCCTTAAGGCCACTGACAATAAAAGAATGAGGAAGCTGGCCGAGAACTTCTTCTGCTGACCTGCATCATTTGACATCCACAGGATGTGGAGATTAGAAAGAGACTGAGTCATGTAGGTCACAAGGCTGTGTAGGACTGAGGACTCTGACCTGCTGCTTGATTAACCACAAATACAATATCTTATTATGTTACTCAGGTTTATCTGGGGATAAATTTACAGAAAACACTTTTCTCTGTATTAACTTGTGCTTTCCTCTAATGAAGCATTTAAAATGCCTCACTTGTTACATGCTTGTATGAAATAGTGATGGGTTGACAAAGAGATGAGTTTGCTAATGCTAATGAATGGGTCTGCCTTCCTAAAATATATGACAGTATTAAACCAGTATAAAAATCATGTTTACAAAAAATTTTAAATGGTCATTTTAAAGCTAGAATCTTGAATGGCCTTTCAACATTTGTGCGTGTGTTTTTTAAATTCCCATTTCTATACCATTGTGTGAGCATCTTTTTCTTATGCAATAGTGGTGATGTAGGAGGTGTGAAATAGGTATAAAGGTATTAACAAGGTATCGACAACGAAGCAGCAAAAATACAGAAAGCAAAAAAAAAAAAATAGAAACATAGAAAGATTAATAAAACCATTTTGGTTGTAGGTGTTAACATGTAATTTAACACATATTAACTATGTAACCTTATACTGTATTTGAGGGTTGAAGTTGTCTGTGTGTGAATGTGCACACGTGCATGTGTGTGCAAATGCATAAATATATAAAGAACTCTGAAAATCTCAGTTCTTTCTGCTGCTTAGTGTGGAAAAGTAAGGAAACGACTAATTAAGTAAACATAATCAGCTATTATAACATCCTTATGCTGGTCTCATGTGTTCTTTTTTTCCTTTTAATTATCTTACTTCACTTAATTTCCCCCCTTTTTGTGGTCACTGTGTTTACATTATATATTAATGTGTCAGTGCTGTGTTCCTGTAAAAGAAGCAAAATGTACACAGGTTTTCGTTTGTGGATGTTTGGGATCAGGGCAGAAGTTTCAAAGGGTCAAGATGAGAAGGTCACAGAGGAATCACCGACCTTCCAGTGAGCTGCCTGAAGCATATTAAAGGGTTCAGCCTGTGCTGTGCAGGCTGCTCCTGAGATTTGTACACAGTTTAACTGCTTATTCACATTTCACAATGTGATGTAACAAAGCAAGTACTTTGACATTTTTACTGCAACCATATTTCAATATTTTCCAGCTGTATGTGCTAATGTGCTGTGTTAAGGTTAAGCAGTGAGTTTAAAGCACATCTCTCTGGCTTCTAGTTAGAGATCTGATCCTGTGAGACACTCACAGAGGGAGTTTTTTAGTTAACTGTTTCAGTTAATGCAGCTCCAATATGAATTACCAGTGACAGCCACTAAAAACCCCATTAACACAAACTTACAGCAAGCACATGATAAATCCATTGTAGTCTGTAACAGTGGTTGTATCAGCACAACCACTGCTACCAATTTCACACTTAAATTGCTGAGTACTACGCCATCTAGTGGTAAGTACTCTGTAATTTATGGTACAGGTACAGCCTGAGAGAATGCCTGAGTTTGTGAGCCTGAGCTCAGGCCTAATGCACTGACTGAACTTATTTACAAACAACTCCTCACACATTTGCTGATCCTCCGCGGCAGAAGTGTAGCAAAAGTTACACATGAAAACAAAGTAACTGAAACTTATTTGCAAATTTACAAATCTGATCACACAAACAGCCAGTTGACTTAGTTTAGCAGACAGCTGTCAGGTTTGTTTCATCTGTTTTTTTTATCAGTTGTTGATGAATTTGTTGCTGCTCCATATCAGTGCAATTTATGAAATATAAGGTTAGCAGATTTTGACAATTAGATGGACTATTCTGCATTCAATGTTGTACGCAATGAAAAAAATCAAGCAATTCAAATGAGATGAAGCATAAACTATTTTATTAGTTAAGACATAGAAAACAAAAAGTTGTTCAAACTGTTGACAGCTGTCTTTTTTCACTTGACTAAACACGCTAAACATTTGCAAATGCAAACAGAAAAAGAGCTGAGATGAAATGAAAGTCGAGTTAAACAAAATTCAGTGTGGATATAACAGGTTTAGATGAAATTAGCATAAGACAGTCAAACAGATCTCAAATCATATATCTGTGAGAGTAAATTTAATCTAAAATCAAACTGATTATTACACCACTCAATTACAAAAGATGATGTTTTTGTTGTGGTTTCAGATGCAATGTTTGAAATTAATGATCAAAGAGTGTTAACACTTGTTTGAGGAGCAGTTTTTAGATTTAGTTTCCTTACATTTTTTGACTATTTGATAAATAAAAAATCTTTGTTATAAACAGGTGAATGATATGCTAATTAACAAAATTAGGTAAAAATGTATTTATCTGGAAAACACTCTGAAAGCCTAGATGGACACAACATTGAGAATGTGACTTTTGTTTTTCACTTGCTATTTTTTTGTGAATTAACTTATAGTCACTCATAACATCATCTTCATGTTAATAATTTATAGAATTTCCTTTTTGTCACTCAGACAAAATCAGACTGTCACAGTTATTAGATGAAAACAATAACATAATTTTCAGCCGATTTGCAGTTTCTTTGGCTCATTAGAACATTTCATCCAGACTTTTAATGGCTTCTTCTTTAGATATATCTTTCCATATATCTGGAATATATACATTCCAGATATATGGAATATAATACACTGCCCTGGAACATGAACCCATAGTGATTTTCCAGTTTCGTTTGAAATTGACAAACAAACCATTTCCAATATGCCAGTTTAGTCCCATCAGGAGTGATTCTCCAGGTATCATACGGTGGACCAGCAGTTTTGTACTGTTTGTAGGGAATGTATTTCTCTGAGCTAGGGTGAAGACCTTCTTCACTTGTAACAATTGTTGTTCAGAAACTGATGCTGAGGACTTTAGTTTGTACATAGTGAGATCCTATTATCCCATCAGGTCGATGAAAAGGAGTGCTGTGGTCATCAGGACTGTGATCTTTCATGGTGTTGGTACAAACAGCTGCACAGAATGGACATTTTACCCAGCAGCAGTTACAAAGCTGATCTATGAGGATTTCTTCAGGCCTCTGCCTGGATTCATTCAGTTTATCCAGGGAGAGGCTGCTCATCTTCTCAGTGATGGATTTAAATCCTTTCTGTATCTCTTCCTTGAGAAAGATATATAGATAGATCTATCTATCTATCTATCTTAATCTATCTATCTATCTATCTATCTATCTATATTCTATCTATCTATCTATCTATCTATCTATCTATCTATCTATCTATCTATCTATCTATCTATCTATCTAGCTATCTATATATATCTATATCTATATATATATATATATATATATATATATATATATATATATATATATATATATATATATATATATCTTGTAAACAATCATCATCACAAATTCAATATTTATTTACATTTTTTGAGTATTTGATAAACAAATATTTTTTTATAAATAGGGAAACAATATCACAATTAACAAAATTAGGTTAAAAATGTTTTATCTGAAAAACATGAAAGTCTAGATGGAACGCAACAATAGATGACTGTTTTTCACTTTATATTTTTTGCACTTAAATTAATCTATACATCATTCTTCATGTTAATATTTAAGATTTCCTTTTTCTCACTCAGACAAAATCAGACTGTCACAGCTGTATTCATGAGTTATTAGATGAAAACAATAACATAATTTTCTGCAGATTTGCAGTTTCTTTGATCATTAACACATTTCATCCAGACTTTTAATGGCTTCTTCTTTAGATATATCTTTCCATTGATCTGGAATAGCTCCTCTGCCCTGGAACTTTTTCCCATAGTGCTCTTCCAGTTGTGTTTGAAATTGACAAACAAACCATTTCCAATATGCCAGTTTAGACCCATCAGGAGTGATTCTCCAGGTATCATACGGTGGACCAGCAGTTTTGTACGGTTTGTAGGGAATGTATTTCTCTGAATCACCCTTAAGGCAAAAACTGCGATCACTTGAAACATTTGTCGTGCAGAAGTTGACACTGAACTCTACTGTGTCTCTACGGTGCCATCCTATTATCCCATCAGGTCGATGAAAAGGAGTGCTGTGGTCATCAGGACTGTGATCTTTCATGGTGTTGGTACAAACAGCTGCACAGAATGGACATGTTACCCAGCAGCAGTTACAAAGCTGATCTATGAGGATTTCTTCAGGCCTCTGCCTGGATTCATTCAGTTTATCCAGGGAGAGGCTGCTCATCTGCTCAGTGATGGACGTAAATCCTTTTTCTATCTCTTCCTTGAGAAAGTGAAAATCTTTTATGTCACTGAAGTTTTCAGAACAAATGTTGTCAAATTTCAGCTCATCCTTTAGGACATTAGAACATTCCTTCAGCCACATATCTGTGTTTCCTCTCTGATTTTGGACCTTTTGTGTTGCACTAAATAAAGCCTGACTCACAGTTATTTTGATGTCATCAGCATTTTTCTTGAGTATTTCCACAGCTTCATCTTTCTGATCTCTGAAGATGTACTTTTCAACTTCTGCTTTAATGAAAGCTTCTGTTTGTCTCCTTGGATTTGTGATATATGTGATGAAATCCTCAAAGTTTCCTTCTTTCTTTCCTTTTTCTTTTTTAGCGAGTGACTTCAACACATGCTTCTCCAAGTCCTGCCTGGTCCCATTGAATGCTGGGAAATTACACCTCATCTTTCCAGCGAGATCAATGGCAGTCTTGTTATAAACAGCCTCAAGAGTGAAAACTTTCAGCCTTTCACAGACCAGTTCTCCAAGCACAACAGCAGATGAGTTTTCTTTGCAAAGGCTTCTAAAAACTGTGTAAAACTGTGTTTTCTTGCTTTCCAAATAAGTGATTGGATCATTGCTCATTTTAAATTTTTTGTGTGACTCTAGAATCCAACTTTCTGTCCTGTAGAACACATAGAGCAAGAGATCAACTTTAAACTCCTTGTTTAAAGTGTATTTCCTCTCTAACAGAAATTTCTGCACTTTTTCTGTCACACGATTGGCCATTTCATGCAAACATTTTTGCGTGTAGCCTGTTGCAGCTACATGTTTCTTTTTGATTGCAACACGTGACTCTTTTTCAGCTTGGTCAATGAGCGATCTGATCTGTTCTTGTTCTTCATGGGAAAAAGCACCTCTTGCTTTATATTTGTTGTAACTGTCAACCAACAGATTACCACCTGTCTTCATATAACCTGAATAATCACCAACCTCTGATATTTTCTTGTATCTGCCACTTCTTTTACTTTCATCTGTGAGAGGTAGCTCAAAACCAAGTTCTTGAAGGATCGTTAACTGATCTTGTTCCAAGTTGATGTCTTCAACAGGTTTTATATCTGCTGTTAATTCAGTAACCCAGCCGCTCCAAACAGAGTTGAACTGTCGTTGAAGCTCTTCTTCATCTTTGGCCTTCAGCTGCTGAGCGAGCTCTTTGCTTTTCTGTAGCAGTTTGTTCTCAAACTCTGATTTCTTCTCATCCAGATTTTTACAAGCTTTCTTCTGCTGGATAACTCCATCCAGTTTTCTTTTCACTTTGTTCACTTGTTCATCATGGAATTCCTTAATTTTGATTTCAAATCGTCCTCTCCACTGAATCAAAATCTCTCTGTCTTTGTCATCCTCAAAGTATTTTGTCATTTCTTTTCTGACTTCTTCATATTTTTTGCTTGTTTCTCTGAAAAGATAAGACTGCTCAACCTCATCAAGTTTTCCATTTTCAATTCTGTTATGAAGTTGGTTTTTAATGGTCAACATGTTGCTCCTCAGGGTCCAGGTCCAGTTCCCATACGAGACT